ACTCTGTGCTCCTCCAGCAGCTCTCCACTCCTCGTGGTGCTGCTCACACCTCCTCCCCCGAGGGGGACACGGCCTCCTTTATCACTTGAAGCGGCAGCTCCGATTCTTTCCAAGGAGTAACACCTTGTCCTAAATGCCCCAGGTGGCTCTTGGGCATTCCTGGATCCTGCAAGATTCTGGCAGCTCCCTCCTACCAGGCTCCCAGCACTCCCTTGCTGACGTGGCAGTTTGTGCTGCTGCCATTTCTTTCCGTGCTGGTTTTGGGCTCTCAGCTCCTCTGAGGAAAACCTCCTGGAAGTTTCTCCTTTCTCCTTCTTGTCAGACTCTTTGAGGAGCAGGCTTAGGAGAAGACACTCAGTGGACTTGAAAGAGTTCAAGTGAGGAGTTTTTGAAGGCTGAGGGTCACATTTCTCCTCTTGGACAGAACGTTTTCCACTGCCCAGATCAGGAATTTGGATGGAGCCAGACAAAACTATCAGGAAATGAAAGAGATGTTAAAGATGCAAGTGGTGTGAAAATGAGCCAGTTCAGAGAGCTGCTAACAGGGCAGACAGACAACAAAGTCAAGGTATTAATTAAGATATTAATTAAGAAGACTTTAGTTCAGTCCCAAAGCAATTTAACAAGGCCATTGCAACCAACATGCAAGAACAAAGACAGGTAACACTGCAGTAGTGAGGAGCAGGCAGAACAAGCACATCTTTTGAAGTTTTTGTTATTGAATATTTAGAATGTGAGCTGAAGCAGCAATTTAAATGGGAAATCGTGAGGCAGAAGTACATCTCAATTAACACTAATAAAGAATGGAGCAGTGATGATCCTCCTCACACTGCAGCTCCCACACAGATCAGGGGGCCAAGCTCTGCTTTGAATCACACATTTATCCCCCAGCTGATCTGAACTCAGAGCTTCCCTGACTGCTCCTAAATTCATACATACCTAGGATATTAACAAAGAGCTCATAGTATTCAAAAGTAAGCAATGGCTCTGGAAGACTGAGAAAATAATCAGCAACTGTTCTGAACACGTCCCGCTCAAAGCCACTGTAGGTGGCTTGGCTCATGTCATTGTTCCTGGGCCCTGAAAAGAGGGGAAGAAAGGAGATTCACACCAAAAATCCACAGTCCCACTAGAAAAGAAATTTCTGAAGATCAGCCTAAATTTGTTCTTGTTTCACAAGCAAAGAATCCTATCAGCAGTCCACAAATATTGTATTTGGCACAGTTAGTAAGCAGAAGCAGTGCAAGAGATTCCAGGCAGCCACTGAAGAGCTGTGCTCAGTTCTGTTCCACACCAAGAAAATAAATCAAGAAAAATTAATCTGTGGTCTTTATAGGTTCCTCAGCAAAATAATCACCCACCCTTAGGATGTGGCACAGTGATCCCACTTCTCCCACAGGAAGTTCAAGCTCCTTCAGCAAAAGGAAACTCAGCACATGGAAAAAAAAGCTCATTATCTTTGGTCTCATTTGAGAGGCACTCATCTAATTAATTTAGAGTTGATTGTTTACAAACCAAAGAAAATGGATCTCCCCAGTTTAATATGAATTGTAGGACATGTTTTGGTCCAGCTAAAAGCCAGGGACTGGAAATGCAAAGTCCCTTTCACTCCTGAGAAACTGCATTAGAGGAAACCACCCACAGGCTTCTGAACTGAAACATCACAGCTGATTTCACACACACAAATATTTCCCTTTCAACTCTCAAAAGAGGCTGCTGGAACTTGAAAGCTCTTCAGTGACTTACAGTAGGCCAAGCACTTCATGGCTGACAGCACCCAGTGAGGGAGGTCTTCTGAAATGCAAACAGATAAAAACATCATTTAGACATGAGCCCCAATAATTAACAACTAATAATGGCTCACACGTATTAAATAACACCCAAAGCACAAAAGATTAAATTTAAAACAGATCTTAAATACTGTTCCACATGGAATTTTGAGAGGATAAAGGGGAATAATTTCAAGCTGAAGGTGGGCAGGGTTAGATGGGATATTGGGAAGGATTTTTGGCTGGGATGGAATTGCATCCAGCTGTGGCTGCCCCTGGATCCCTGGCAGTGCCCAAGGCCAGGCTGGAGCAGCCTGGGACAGGGGAAGGTGTCCCTGCCATGGCAGGGCTGGGATGGGATTTAAGATCCCTGAGCTGTGCTCTGGTTTGGGGAAAAGTGGAAACACCAGACTGTGAAACAGATGAATTCTTATTTATAAATAAAGATTTCCAAGCAAGTCCAGGGAAATAAATGTCACCTGCTTTGTCCTGCAGGATCACCACGCCGTGTTTGCTGGTGTTGCTCATGTTGTACATGACAAACTCAGGGATGATCTGGGCTGGCTGCAGAACCTCCTCCAGCGAGGGCAGTCCCAAAATGGTTTGCAAACTGGGGGAGGAGGAGAGCAAAGATTGCAAGGGATGAAGGAAAACAAGTTCTTCCCATATCTGCTCCAAATCTCTTGGTGAGCTAAAGTGCTGTTTGGTAACTTCTCACTTCCAGGAGGACAACTGGGGACCTTTTCCCTGGGACAAGCAGCAACAATCAGCAAGGAAGAGCAGCTGAGGTGTTTAAAATATACACCAGCACCTCATCAGAAATTCCTTAAATGCAACAGTCCAAAGTTAATGAACAGATTAGAAAACCTGTGTAAACAACAGGGAAAATTCAACTTAAACCACAGCTTTAACAATTAAAAACAAATGGTGAAAGCTTGCTTGGGTATTTCACGCTGAAGGAGAAGGTGCTGTGTGAAATTCCTCACTCACTGTATCCTGATGATGTTTCTCCATGTTTCTTGCACATATTCCTGGCTTATTTGCCTCCTTGGCAGTGCACCTTCCTTCTTTTCTTCTGTTGCATCAGCTTTTGGTCTTGCTAAGTTTTCCTGAAAATGAGAGGTTTATACTGTAAGATAAACGAGCTTCTTAAGGCAATTAAAAATTAGAGAAAATTGGAATTAGAAGAAGAGAATTGTGTGGAGATTAAATTCCACGTGAACCAGGGGGCAACCTGCAGCCTCAGCACTGAAATGGGAGCACACAACTAAAAAGAAATGGAAGAAACCCCAGACCTACCCCAAATCAGCAATTTAAAAGGTAAAAACGCCTCAAATCCACATGTATTAATATGTGAATTACCCTCCTTTGGGATTGGAGCCTAAATTCAGAATTTATGCATGCAAGTCTCAGCTGAATCAAGGGCCACACACATTCCATCTTCTCCAAAAAGGTGACCAGTTAAATGATCTGGGCCTTTTATTTGTACCCCAAAGATAAATTAAATTTCAACAAGGTCACGTTGTGAAGATCATTTCTAGGACTTCACCTTCCAACCCTCCCCATACTTTAAAATCCCTTAGCAGGGATAATTCTGCACTGAGACAAAACGAAGAAAACCCAAAACAAAATGAAAACCCCTCTCATATAAATTTATTTCGTAATATTTCTCAATTCCTTAAGTCTAAACTATTCTTTCTTAAGGGAAGATGCCACAACAGAGCAGTGTCACTAAATTTTCAAGATTTTAAAATACAAGCCAACTGCAATGCTGTGAGGAGCAGAAGTTATTACCACAGACTGCAGGATCTCCTGTTTTTTCAAACCCCTTTTGGATGAGCTGGGCGGTTTAAAAAGTTTTCCTTTGTCTCCAGAGAAGTTTTCCAAGTTGTCCCTTGGTGGGCTTGGTAGAGGTTTGACTGGAGAGGTTGGAGGAAATCTGTAATGAATGGGGGAGTTGTTAAAAACACTCAGAATTGATCTGTAATCGAATAAATGACTTGACAAAACAAAACCTGACTCCATACCAGCGTGGCTCTGTTAGATTCCCTACAAAAAGGATTTTTTTTTTTAAATTTATCATATGATAAATCAGCTTCGGGCTGTTTTTCTTGATGCCAAAGTGGAGCTGGAGATGTTGGCACAGCCCGAGCCCGGAGTGTGAGAAGTGGGGGCCATTAACACCTTTAATTTCAGAGCTCCTTGGCTCTGTTTCCCACTCAGGCTTTACGTGAAAGGCCCAAGAGAGGCAAACCCAGCGGGCAGCTCCTCCAAAACACCCTGGCTTCACTCCAAAGCACTGCAGCACAGTTTGAACTCCAGCACGAACCTCGATGGGCAAAAGCAAGCGAAGCAAAACGCTCAGAGCAGCAAAAGCACTGATAATTAACCCTTTACCCGGGATGCTTAACCCAAAGCGAGCTCTTTTTGCAAATCGAAGCATTTTAAATAAACCCCCCAGCTGGGAGACCACGGGTCGATTTTACCCTCAGTACCTGTACAGGGCACCGTTGTCCTCCAGGTTCTCAGCTCCCCAGCGGCCCTTGACGTCCTCGATGACGTGGTTTTTGAGGAATTTCCGCAGGAGCTGCACGGTCTGCTCCCGGGTGACGTCGGGCCCGAAGCTGCCGTTGCTGCGGAGCACCGGGTGCAGCCAGTCCGCGGCCTCGGCCGCCGTGAAGCAGCCGCCGTGCGAGCGGAGGCGCTGCCGGTGCCGCCGCAGCGGCATGCCGGCCCGGAAGCAGCGCGTCACCTCGTTCCACTGCGGGGACACGGAGCGCGCACCGGCAATGGCGGCACCGCCGTTACGCGACGGAGGGCAGGGCGGGGGAGGCCTCAAGGTACCCCCCCGAGCCGCCGGTGCCGCGACACCGGGGCTCCCGCACGCCGAGAAAACGGGAGCGGCGCAGCAGAGCGCCGGGCACCCGCGTGTCGCGACGGCGAGCGGGGGGTGTCCCCGAGCACCGCCGCGACAGAGCTCCCGGGGTACCCAGGTGTCGCGGCGGCGGGCACGGCGCATCCCCGAGCGTCCCTCTGTCGCGACAGCAGTCCCGCCTCCCGTCCCGCGGCGCTCGCACGGGTGCCACGGGCGCCCCGCTCCCCGCTCAGCGGCCGCGCCCCCCGGCTCCCGCCCGGCCCGGTGCCGCCGCAGCCCCGCTCGGTGCTCACCAGCCTCGTGGCGCGGTACGGCCCCGGCCCCGGTCCCGGCCCCGGTCCGGCCATGGCGGCCCCTCAGGCGGGGAGCGCAGCGCCCCCTGCCGGCCCCGCCGCGCGCGTAACGGCCGCCTCCGCCGCCCCGCCGTTCGAATCTGCCGGCGGACGCTGATTGGCCGAGACGGACGCACGCGGCGCGTGACGTCACTTGGCGGGCCGGGCTGAGGGGACCCTTGAGGCCGCGGGTTCGGATCCCGCCCCTAGAACCTTCACGGGAGTTAATTACCCAACTGCGATTAACAGTAATTACAGAAATTCAGGAGCCCCAGATCGTTACTTAACAGTCACGAACGTGCGGGGACAGCTGGCCCTTCCTCACGTGAGAGCTGCTCCTTAGGTGTAGGGGGTGGCACTGGGGGGGCTCTGAGCTCCATCCCAACCCAGCCCAGTCTGGGATGCTGTGGGATGAGGAGGGCTGGCTGGGAACACCTTCACTTGGCTTTTGTCACGATTTAATCCCTCTGTGCAGTGAAGGTTATTCTGGCTGTGGCCAATAGAAAACTGGCCTGCCTCAGCTCCATCCCCTGCTCAGCTCCATCCCCTGCTCAGCTCCATCCCCTCCTCAGCTCCATCCCCTCCTCAGCTCCATCCCCTGCTCAGCTCCATTCCCCTCCTCAGCTCCATCCCCTGCTCAGCTCCATTCCCCTGCTCAGCTCCATCCCCCTCCTGCCTTCCCACAGGAAAATCCCAACAGCTCCAGGGTCACTCCATCCCCTGATTTTGAACACAAGCTGCACGTCCACATGGAAACACAAGCAAGGAAAGGAAAAGCAGGTTTTAATTAAAATTATTCCAATCATTCCCACAGCACTTTTTTTTTTTTTTTTTTAAAAGAGATAAAGACTCCTCTTTAGAAAGTTATTATTTACCAGGTGTTGGATTTAACTTCATTTTCGATAAAACATCAAGAGAAGAAAAAGCTTTTAGGAAAATTTCTAATTTTAAAAATTTCTAATAATTAAAATAAACCTGAGCTCAATCAGGTTTTTGAGCAGAGATGACGGGTGAGAAAAGAATTATCTGAGAGCAGTAAGAGGAAGCAGCCCTTGTGCCCCAAACCCTGCAGCAGCAGGAGGAGCACTGAGCTCTGCTGGCAGAACTGGGATCACATTCCCAGGGTGCCCACGGCTGCTCCCACACAGCTGCTGGCTCCAGGCACCAGCAGGGAGAGCCCAGGCTGTGCCCAGCACACCCTGCACAGCCCAGGAGAGCAGCCAAGAGCAGCAGGGAGAGTCCCAGGAGCCCAGGCTGGAATTCCCAAAGGCAAAGCAAGAGTGGTTTGGTTTTCCATGTCCTCGTCCACAGCCATGTCCAGTTCCAAGGTCCTTTTTGACCCTCAAGGGTTATGCAAACTGCAGGAAGGAAAGGGAGGGATCACTGTGCTCTGCCCCTCTATCAAACACACATTTTTTATTTTCTTTGCATAAATTAAAGTCAAATTTTAGCATTTGATTTGCCTGAATCCATGGGGACTGTGCCTGGGACATCCCAACTGCTCCTGGATCCATGGGGACTGTGCCTGGCACAGCCCAACTGCTCCTGAATCCATGGGGACTGTGCCTGGACACCCCAACTGCTCCTGGATCCATGGGGACTGTGCCTGGCACAGCCCAACTGCTCCTGAATCCATGGGAACTGTGCTTGGCACAGCCCAACTGCTCCTGAATCCATGGGAACTGTGCTTGGCACAGCCCAACTGCTCCTGAATCCATGGGAACTGTGCTTGGCACAGCCCAACTGCTCCTGAATCCATGGG